TAATTTTGAGATTTTGTCATTAAAATTTATATGTAAACATCAATTTAACCCAAGAAGGTATTTTGCTACAAAATGTATTTATACCGATGTTTATGTTTGTAAAATATAATTGTTTGTTGCTCATATCTAGTTTGTCCAAAAGCTATGTGTAAAATTGTCATTTAAGTCAAATAAGTTTGTCCAAAAGCTATGTGTAAAATTGTCATTTAAGTCAAATATGTTATTTTATGAAAACACAGTGACTCCCATATCAACCCGAGGCGGAAGTAAAGGGCTCATATGCATATGGGTATGAGAATCATACCAGGACCGATGTGGCAAAGGGCATGCTATAATCTATTTATCACATATTTAATAAAATCTTCAAACGTCGAATCATTGAAATTAGCCAAGATTAGTAAGATAAATATAGGACATTGTTCATCTCCTTCAGTGAAATATTTTCTATATTCAACTTTACAAAGTTCAACTACTGTTCCAAATGATAGTTCTTGAATATTATAATGTCATGTTGTTTTCCCTCAGTGTTTAGTGTTCTTTATTTGCTTATCATATTCAGCTGTGTCATTTCGCTCGAAGTTGCCCGCCAACTTCCTCGTCCGCGATTATTGTAATGAGTGCATACGACGTCTGACAGCAGGGCAGAAATATTCAGTTATTTGTAGGATAAGAACTGATCGCGCATGTAAATATTTGCTTACGGAAACAAGTGAGCACAATCATGAAAATAATTGACGTTAATTAGAAAGACAACACAATATACTGATTATACTGCAGTTTCAGGCGACTAAGTATGTACATTAGAATACACGGTAGCGATATACAACAGCTCTTGTAAAACGCAGACAATGTTATCTAAAAAACGATTGGATACAAGTACCAGGTAAGGACATACTTTTATATTCTTCCTGTTCCTGTGGACAACAAAATACTGTTTATTTCAGACTATGTTTTACTGGTATAATTATACTGGATTTCTTAATTGACAACATAGCAATTTAACAAATGATCGGCATACCCATGGAAACCAACTGTGCTCCTCTTCTTGCCGACTTGTTCCTTTCTTCGTATGAGGCTGATTTCATACAGGAGCTTCTTAGGAAAAATGATAAGAAGCTAGCATTTTCCTTTAACTTCACTTTCCGCTATATAGATGATGTCCTATCACTAAATAATTCAAAGTTCGGTGACTATGTTGAATGCATTATCCCATCGAACTTGAAACTTGAAACAAAGGATACAACAAATACAGTTAAGTCTGCCTCATATCATGACTTACATCTAGACAATGAGGGTCGGTTGAAAACAAAACTTTACGACAAAACAGATGATTTGATACGATATTACAGGGCTTGTGTTTCCTTTCATGATTTTTTGATAGAGGGTTTCTGCTCACAAGGAAGCTAATTAGACAAGGGTTTCAAGTGGTGAAGTTGAAATCATCCCTTCGAAAATATTACGGACGCCATCACGAGTTGGTTGATCGTTAAGGAATATCTGTTTCACTGATGACGACGGATATGTTCCAATCATCGTAACCACAATCCCAGAGCACCTAAGTTCACCCCCGGTTATTGGTTGGGTGTGTGTTGCTCAGCCTTTAGTTTTCTATGATGTGTTTTGTATACTGTTGTTTGTTTTTTTACTTCTTTTTTTTGCCATGGCGTTGACAGTTTAGTTTCGACTTATGAGTTTGAATGTCTTCTTGGTATCTTTCGCCACTCTTTTAGAATGTTCCTTTCCATGAAATACACACTGTATTTTATTCAAGACTTTGCTATTACATGCACGCAGTGCTTATAGTTGTTTATATAAACGAATAAAGGCTGCTTTGATTATAATATAATTTTGAATATAAGTAATTTTTTACAAAAGTTATTTTATGCACATACGTCTAAATACGTGGAACGGATAACCTAGTGTTATACAGGGTTTACACCACAATTTTCATATACTTGTCATATGAAGATTCTTGTTAAAGATTAAAATTTGACAAACAAATTATTACGGAATGAAATTCTGACAGTAATGAATGTTGAGCAATAAAAGTAATTACATTGTAGTTTGACACACTTTAACATATGATAATTACAAAGTACATGCAAAATGTCATTTACAAAAATAGATATATTCAACATTCAACAGTTTTCCAGAAGCTTAAAAAAATTAAAAAAAAACCAAAGCATGTCAATTTTACTTATCGCATACCCATTGTTGATTTACTTATGCTGTCTTTTATAATATAAATTTAGTTTTAGGGACAAATAAGATTGTCCAAGTAATAAAAACAATACATTTTACAAAAGCTGTATCATATATATATGACGCGCATACTAAAAAAATGTATCTCGTCAGAAAGTTTAATTTTTTATAGGATTTAACAGTTTTTTTAAAGACTATTGATGTGAATAAAACTGATCGATTAACTCTTGTGAGTCAGTCACAGGCCGAGTTTAAACATCAATAACCTCTAAAAATGTATTTAATACTTATATTTCTCAACTCAAACATGTCTTATTTGTTCTTTCAATTTCAAATTTCTTGGTACCCCAGGATTCGAATGATTTTTATTGCGCTTGAATAAATCAAAGTAAAATTGAAATAGTGTTGAAATGGGTCACGAAAGCAGTTTCTGCAACATGGTCTATCGAGTGTAAACAAAGGAATAATCCTTACGGACCAATCACATTGAAGTATTTGTATATATGCAAATCATATAAGAATATAAATGGTGGCCAGGATTCTTAACTCAGTTGTGACATTTTAACTCTGTCATAGTTTCATATGTCCATTTATGTTTATCCAGCACAATGCCAGTTTTGTGCCAGGAGTGACTCAACGAGTTTAATGGAGCAGAAAATGCTAACCTTTCCTGAGGACCCGTGTACGCCACCGTTTTCAGTTCATTTATAAAATCAAAATTGGAATCTCGTGTATTGAATGCTATTTATTTTTAAAGTAAAAAGGGCCAAGTGAGCTTTTCTCATCACTTGGCGTCTGTCGTCCGTCATCCGTCGTCGTCGTCGTCGTCCATCGTCCGTTAACTTTTACAAAAATCTTCTCCTCTGAAACTGCTGAACAAAATTTATCCACAATCATCATTGGGGTATCTAGATTAAAAACTGTGTCTGATGACCCTGCCTGCCAACCAAGATGGCCGACATTGCTAAAAATGGGACATAATGGTAAAATGCAATTTTTGTCTATTATTTGAAAACCGTTATAAATAAAGAATATGTTCAGAATGTTGACCTCTACCAATTGTTATTGACGTCAAAACTGTCAGGCGACTTCTTATAGGAGTTATTGACTTAAAATGACACATTTTATCATTATTTTTTTTTTCATTTTTGCCTTTATTTATCTCGAAAGAATTTATTGCAAAAATGATCAGCAAGAAAAGATCTATGAATAAGTATGCATGGTCGAAATCATCAGTCGAATCCTAATGAGAGTTATTGCCCTTTGATGACGATTTTTACCATATTTTTTTGCGTTTTTGCCTTATATCTTGAAAATTATAATAGATAGATAGAAACTTAATTAACTAGCAAAAATGATCAGCAAGACAAGGTCATCATTTAAGACAATAGGGAGGAAATTTTACGACGACTCCTTATTAGAGGTATTGCCCTTTAACGACGACTTTTATCTTTTTTTTTTGCGTTTTGCCTGATATGATAAAAAATTATAATAGATAAATAGAAACTTTAAATAACAAAAATGATCAGCAAGTCAAGATCCACAAACAAGTCAAATTTTTCCGATAAATTTAGTAGACTGTCAATCTTCATAGGAGATATTGCCCTTAAATGAGATTTTTTTGTCATGAATTTTATTCTTGTCTACAATGTTTGAGAGAGTTCATTGTTGATTATACACATAGACCTAGGTGAGCAACACAGGCTTTAGAGCCTCTAGTTCTTCTTTTCTTTTGAAGATGCTGTTATTTTGCTTTTTTTTTAGTTTAGTTTTAGTTTTAATTTGCTCTATGTATCCTTTTCCATTTTGTTGTGCCTGTGACATTTTGTGTCGGAAGCGAGAACAATCATACATTCCGTCGTCGGTGTCAACATTAAGGTTCATTCTGTGGTTAAAGTTTTTTTAAAACTTCCATGACTCTGTTAATAATAATCATTTTTTGTTTATTCTTTTATTCGTATCTTACTGATAAAACGACTTAGTTTTATTTTGCAGTTAACATTAAGATACATTGATTTTACGAAAATTGGACAGAAGATTTTTTAAAAGACTGTATGCAGTGCAAAATGTTAAAATGATTTTTTTTCTGAATTTTCACTTTTACTGAAAAATGGACCTTCGTTGTTGCTGTTATCATTTGCATACTGTCTGCGCATCAATAACTTTGTCAAACCTTGAAGGAATGTTCTAAACTCTAACATAAGCTACTTCAAAACCAAAAAATAGAATATGAAGAAAAAGTTCAATTAAAAAAAAAAATCGTATTCTACTGATTAATTTTTGGCAGTCAACATTACAGTTTTATTCTTACAACAGCAATAACAGGCGCGACGCAGGGTTCTATGGAACCATTAACATTTTTGTCCCCGACATTAACACTTATTTCCGATTGTGACTGTCACCTTGAAACAAGTGTCGCGTGCATAGCAAGAGATGTTTACCTTTATGCATGTGAGCAAGCTCCGTTTAAACATCGTGCGATTTTGAATGTGTTCGCCCCCGTTGATATGACAGCTCTACACATTACCTTGTGCATCGGATAATTCAGAATTATACAAATCACATTATTCGTCTGATATTTAGCTCAACAATGTTAGATCAGCTTTTTCTGCTTTAAGGAAGGACAAAAATTCGCTCCCACAAATTTGGAGATATAAGTGTAGGTCTAAATTTCAAAAGAATTATATGCTATTTGTATAATTCTCAATTATCCAATGGACAAGGTTATATATATAAAGTGAATGATGTTAAAGTTACGTCATTACACATATAGTATTGACAAATATGGTTGTGTCTGATTGAAGCTGTTAAAACTTTAATTTAATTTAACAATGGTAACACATCACAGAATCAAGTAACAAAAGCGGTCCTTTCTGTATATATTTAAGACTTATAATTTCTGTCCACTATTTTCTTATAGTACTGGTTCTTTGGCATCTTTAATAGGAAGAACTTGGGAGATTGAAGATCTTTTACCGTATTTATGTGTAAGGAAGAATGTTGTAGCAAACATGAAAAACGCTAACGCACACGTGATATTCGCAGCTATAGCGATGTAAAAGGACGTATCTATGCTCATACCATCCTTAAACTGGGTTCGGACAACAATTAATGCTAATGTAGCTGTAAAAACTGAAAAAAATAAAAATAAAGAATGTGTAAAAATCGTATATTTAAAAGTCAATGTAGATTAAAATAATTTTGTCCAGGTATTGAAAAATTTAGTGTTCATTATATACATATTTTTCAGTTTGTTCCAATATTGTGTTGTCATACTACAGACCCCGGTTAGGGCAAACATCTTTAACCCCGTTACATGTGTTATGTGCCTGTTATAAACTATGAACCTGTATACCAGACTGAGTGGTTGTCGTTGGTTGATGTCTGTCATTTTTGTTTTTCGTTTAATATTGTAGTATAAGACATTTACATATGTTGTCATACCGGGCCTTTTAGTAGCTTACTATACTGTATGGGTTTTCCTCATTGTTATAGGCTGTACACTGAGTAACCTGTAATTGTTAACTTTGTCCTTTTGTCTATGGATAATTGTCTCATAAGCAATTATACAACATCTCCTTATTTTCATCAGTTTGAATGTTCATTTTTAGCAGGACCATATCGATACATGTAGACATAGGTCTCAAAACACTCTGTTTTGATCAAGACAAAAGTGTTACCTCCCAAAGCTAAAGTATCAGCAGACTGCTGGACTAACAGTGATATATAGTTAATTAACTGATTCTAAATTAAACTGATTTTTAAATAATTCAATGCATCGGTATATAGATAAAATCAACTATCAATTTGATCAATACTTTTATTCAATCAAAGTTAACTATGTCAATGGTTGCGTTTATACCCAGAAGAACAAGTTAAAAACAAACAACATGTCTTAAAGATTTAGTAAATAAAACACACATTAAAGGACATATTAAACGCTTTTTGATTAACCTGTGATATTGGCTTTAAAATATCATATGATACAAAAAATACGAATTATCGATTTATTTTCTGTCATCTCATAACATTATTCAAATGATATGTTTTACATAGAGGCTTAGAATATAGGTATAAAAATGGTTGTCATAAACGCACCAGTGATCTTTGAGAGTTATGTCCCTTAATCTATATCAACTTTAGAAAGCTTCCACTATATAAAGTCATACATCAAAGATAATGTAATAAATCATTTTTTGCATGATTATGCTTTTTATATTGTTGTAAATGTTTGCATGTATTCGGTTAAAAGTTCTATAGAGCTTATGTTTTGTAGATCGTAACTATACCGAATCTAAATATAGCTTTCGTATCGTATAGTATAAGCATTACGCCTGTTTCGAACAGAAGGCCTTACAAGTCGAAAAGGATTTAATTACTAGTATAAGGATACAACATATTAATATCTTATTGTTACCTGTAAATCCTGCCGTGGATAATATTGCGATGTCCGGTTTTGTTGATCGTCTAAGTTTCAAATCGTTTTCGGTTGTCATTATTAGAGTTCCAATTGTGATAACAACATTAGTAAAAGTGGATATGGTGGCTATAATTGCCAATGCTCTGCATGCTTTAACTGCCTCTTAAATAAAAAAAAAGGATATGTGTTACTTTAAATTTTGGTATGCAAGAATTATTATTACTTCTTACTGTCTGTCTTCATTGTCAATGTTACCTTTTTGATATTATTTCAAATGGATTTTTCAAGGGTTAGTGCTTTTTTCTATGATACGTCATCAGGCAGTGTCACCCTCAAAGTATAGCTGCGATGATTTTTGTACAGATTTAAAGACCTTTAAAAAAGGTCTTTAGGATGTAATACATTTATAGTAAACTGGCCCTACCTCTTTTGGTTTTGTACTATTATGTTGACAAACTTTCCAGTATTTCATGTTTATACCAAGATTATTCATGGAATTTTGCGGAGTTTTATTTTATTTCAATTTTATACATTTTCAAAACTCTAATGCATTATAATTCATTTTGTTATGCATTAGAATAAGAATAACAGATCTGTAGTTCTTCCAGTTTTAATTTTTACACAGTGAAATCGAGATAGTGTTTGCAAATAGGTTACAACAGATGCGGTTTTCGTGGGAGGTAAACTGTAATAGCCATTAATATGTACATCTATGAGTCTGCTCGCGAGAATTTTATCAAGTTGTTGTTTACAAAGCGGACTAAGCACGTCATTTTAGAATATAAAATAATCATCCGCATATCCATACAGTGTAAACCAATGATACATGTCACAGGTAATGTTCAATGATTCGTTTTCCTTTATCAACGTAACAAATAATTGTTTTAGTTGATATACATGTTATCTCTCAGTTTGGGCTTGTTTGAATACAAGACGTCATAATAAATACCACGGACATGTACGTCAACATTGAACTAACACTATATTAAATGCAGTAAACATTAACAAAACAAGTTCTTTTTCCTTACCAAGACAACAGTACAAAAATTGCAAAATTATCACTATGAACAGAAAAAATATACGCTTGCAAAGGAAAACTGATCTAAAACTTTTATTCTACGTGAAAGATTCAACCCCGTTTCTTAACCATGCACAGTGCTAGTGATATCATTCTTGCAGACCGCATGTACGATCACAACTATCGGAGCTGTGATAAAAAAAATGTAAGATTGACTTTTAAATACTTCAAACGGATAAAACAGGATATTTTTGCACTCTATAGAATAAAAGAAAAATGCCAATAATTGTCTTATTTTGGTTATATGATAGGTCTAACAGATCTGATTAAATATACTGTACGGATTATAGCACAAACAATAAGTATGAAATTTCAAGTTATATTTTTAACTTTCCCAACTTGTCGGGTAGGTTAATATAGATATGAACTGTATGAATTCAATCATTCAAAGCACTCCAGAATACACTGTCATAAAAGAAACGTTACCTATAAGAAGTTTCGTTGACTCGAACTGCACAGTGTTTTCAGTTAAAAAGGATTAAGTAAGAAAATGTTCCCTTCCTTGTATATTCTTAAACAGTAATGCATGTGTCTTAAGATTTTGAGCCTCGTGTTCCCAAACACTAACACCACATCCACCAAAAACGATAAAAAATGAAGCACAACACTGTTCAAGAAAATAAGAAAGATACACTTTTTTCACATTATAACCTATTTACATTGCACATGAAGGATGCAACTCATTCGTCACAACGAATTAATAAAATGTGTTATCACGGATAACAATTTTTCATATATATAGAGATTTCTTCGAATATTTGAAGTTATTTGAAGAAATATTATTGTGGGATAATGAATTAGATCCATAGGCCACGTAACATATCTTTCCGAAAGTTTCATTTCGTTAACTTAAAAAAAAATTTTTTTTATATATATCTCGATTAAAAGTTCTAGTAGCAGTTTTATCCTCTTCTTTCCTTGATTTCTGAGTATAATTATTGTTTTAAGAATAACTCTTTCGTTATTTTCTTTTTCCTTTTTTTATTAAGAGCATGCCAAAACTAGACAGAATTCATAATACATACTCTATGTAATTTGTTACCTTCTGAAAAGTAGCCACTTGTTGATGAATCTTTAGTTCCAGTTATAGTTCCATCTTCTGCTACACCTGGAACTTGATGGGAAAAGACTGATACGGTTGAAAAATAATAATTCCAGATTCCGATATCCGCTGTCGTTGTAAATGTATAAGTTATGGTTATAATCCCAACGCTTGCAATAAATGCTTGGGTTGACCCATTAATCACAAATTCATATAATATCCAGTTTTGCTTTATTTGTGATGCTATCAGCAATCCAATCGTTGCAAGTGAAAACATTACACCAAGATTGCTTAAAATGAAGGCAACTTCTGCCTTATTCATATTTTATATCCAAAGGATTCTTTCATAAGTTATCACCAGCTATTCATTAGGATGGAATAAAATGCGTTTGTTCTACAGTGGAACAGAACTTTAAATAAAAATTATTAACAACTCTGTTCGTTTTAAGGTATTTTAAATTAAAAGAAAACAGGTAACTGTATTATTTCATGTACTACGCTTTTTAAAAATCCCTCTTGACAATTTTGTTAAGGTTACTCCGTTAAGTCTCCATCGTAAAATATGTTATTACTACTTATTGTTTCAAAATTAAAAAACAAACTTTTAAAATTTACTTTAAGTTATCAACTAATGCTCGGATGGTCTAATTTAGAGATTTTCTAAATAAAAGTGATCAATAAGCCGATATGATACATAGGTCATATGGAAAAATTCGGCGTTTTACGTTTCCGCATATTGGCATTACTTTTCCGGGAAAAAAAGATGACGTTTCCACAAAAAAAAGTCTACGTTTCCGGAAATAAATACCTTACTTTTCCGAAAAAATAGTAACGATTCCGAAAAAAATAAATTATTACTTTTTCGAAAAAATAATTAAGCAGTACCTTGAACTTTGTCCTAAATGAAACCTGCAACAACTGATTGTAGCAGCATGAAATTTTTTGTAACAGCAGTATGCATTGACAATTCAAAGTCAATATGATCTACATCGGGCTGCAGAGTTAGTCTTCGGATAGTGCACACATCAATAAGCAGATCCCACATTTTGATAAAAAGTGGAAGTAAAGCAAACACAAGAGGAATGTAGTTACCATTTTACACCCATATATCGAATAATTAACTGTGCCATCTGTGAAAATATCAGTTTTTTCATTACATGGACGATCATAGACATTTCAAGTTGGTGAAACATAAAAATATAACGATTCCGACATCATCATCTTTCACTAAGGTGACACTTTCATTTTTTTTGTATCTAGTATATTGTAGATATAAGATCAAAACCTTTTTTGTATAAAAATATGAAATAAATAATTTATCTAACATATATTCAAATATTAATAATTTACTACCAGGTAAATTTCCGGAAAAGTAATAAATACAATTTCTGGAAACGTATACTTTAAGTTTCCGGAAACGTAGTATTGGAACTTTGAAAAATTAGCGGAAATGCAATACGCCCGAAAAAAGTTAATCTATGTTACGTTTATCCATCATTCACCCGAGTACACGTTTATGCTAAACTTCTTATGTCTTCTAAACGTGCGCACAGTTCTTTTTATCCTGCAATCAGCTAACTAGGCCTATTGTACAAATAGCAGGTAAACAAATAAATGTTTGCAATATTTGTACTTGTACAGTCTCCTGTTACCCCGCTTCCATGTTGAGCAAGCGGTAAAGTGGATATTTCTTTTTGCGTACCAGTTCATTTTGGGGTCCTCTTTGCGGTCCGCGTTTAAACTATGTCGATTTCTTTGAAAAATTAGAGACAATGATTTAGATTTTAACAACTAAAGTTTCAAGTGTTGGGTGTACATTTCAGGATAAAAACAATATATGTACATTGTCGGAAAATATAAAAATTTATTTGTATGAGCTTTAGAAACAGGACGCAAAGCGAAGCTCGCCGAGAAATCTTAATATATATATATATATTGTATATGTATTTCTTTTGTCGAGTTCAATACTGGTCAACTACGTCAGCAACGTTAAGTTACGTTGGTTACAACTAAGATGAAATGTGGGTTCATTTTGTTGTATTATATATGGGTTATTTATAAAAGGAGTTTGGTGGATTTATTTTAACACATACACGTTTTATTCTTAATAGCACCTGTTTACAATTCCCTTAGTAGTCCAGGTAACAAACTAAGGATTGTTTACAAAAGTGAGTCATATGTCCAGGGGTAATAGATGGCCAAGAAATAATGTCCATCGTTAACTTTTTTTACACAAAATGTTCATAATAATATGTAAGAAACATCTTACACTACACCTGAACTTCAGCACAGTAAGTAAATAATATGCTTAAAACAGATGACCACACGAACACGTGCAAATACCCCAACACACATATTAGGTGAACCCCTTTTTATCAAATCTATAGTCTTGTACAATGAAAATTGTGAAATATAGAAACTGAAGGTTTTTCCAACCAAAACAAAAATTATTATTTTTGGTAATGGAAGATTGTCAAACAATCTAAAAATCTAAAAAAAAGGCCGTTTACATAACCTGACAGTTAAATGTCAGTACGATCTTTTAGATAAAATCTTTAGACCAATATTGCTATAGGCTGTGGAATTTGGGGATTTAGTAATATTGATGGAATAGAAAGAGTCCATTTGAAGTTCTGTAAACTTTTGATAAATTTTAAAAAATCAACCCCAAGCTTTATGGTTTATGGAGAGCTAGGCGCTTATCCTATGCCAGTATATGTGGAACACCGTATGGCATCCTTTTGGTCTAACATTGTAAATGGTTCTGATCAGAAGTTGACAAATATTCTTTATAGATATATATGTATAATCTGAACGAAGATAGTGGATATACTTTTGAATGGTTGATTTGTATAAAAAATATCTTGAATAAATATGGATTTTCAAATATTTGGATAGATCAGAGAAATTACAGTTTTAATCCAAAATGGTTAAAGTTGAGCATTAAACAGCGAATATTTGATTGTACAAACTTGTCATGCGCAGAATCTGTATGTAATTATATGTAAAAAGTCTTTCTTTGTACCATCAACTTGGTTTTATAAGAAATAACGAATCTGAACTAAAATTATATTAAATTAAATTTGTCTTAATTTTCATAATCACTTTGTCATCTTGTCTTATCGATGATGTCATTGCCTTTTAATTGAAAAACGCATTCTAGGTTAGTTTTAAAAACATTACACCAAGATTGATAAACACGAATGCCATGTTTTTATTTGATAACGTATATTAGTAGGATAATTTCACAAGTTATCACCAGCTATAAATTTTGATTTATGAGTATATGGTATACTATGCGAACGTTCTATAGTACAACATAACTTTAAATAAAAAAGTTAACAAATCTGTTCTCTTCAAAAATTAAAGGTACTAGAACACACCCGCGAAATCGCGGGCATTTAGACCGTTGTCGAAAGTATGTAAACTGTTGTAGGATGAATTTTTGTAAAAAAATTTATGACTGGAGAATTTCAGGAAAGGTATAAAAAGTCATATGTACTTGGGGACAGGACAATTATTTTAGCCCTCCCCCTTTTTTTCAAAATCCGTTATTTTTTTGTTTTCTATTCATTTCAATTATTTTCGCGTTTTTCTGTTTACTATGAACAGACATATACTATAATCTCTATCTAATATATGACTGCCGTTGATAGTAAACTTTGAATTGATAGTAAACAGCAAATACAATGTACACTTTATTTATAGTTTGTTCATAGTATACAGAAAAAGCGAAAATAAAAAGTACCTATGAAAGTTATGTGTAATTTTAAACAGTTCTAACGGAAGACTTGTCTCTGACTTAAAAGTGCGTCCGATGACGGAAACAATATCCGAAAGTCCTTTATTTTCTTTTTCCTCCCAAAATAGGCCAAACGGAATAATCATAAGGGAGGATGACAAATGCAACTATGCATGGAACCTAAGGGACACAAAGGCATGTTGATTAATTTGTTGTGGAAGGAAGAGAAGCGACACACAAAATGAGGTCTTCTCATTTAATAGTATAGATTTTAAATTAAAAAAAACAAAAACAGCAGATAACTGCATTATTTCATGTACTATGCTGTTGTTTATGCTCAACTTTTAATGCTTTCTAAAAGTGCACTCAGTTTTATTCATTCCTTTTTATCGAATTTGATACTGGGCCACCGCGTTATTAACGTTTATCTACGTAGGTTCCAACTAACGTGTAATTAATGTTATTTTTTTTTTACATTTTAAAATAGCTATTTACAAAAGTAGTAAGACTGACGATTTAATCATTTTTTCATTGATCAACAGTTCAAGGTAAAACGCCAAGTTATATATTGTCTTATCAGTATTTGGCACAATATTTTCGGATTTTTTTATTTTCAATGCTCTTCAATTCGTAATATTTGATTTGGCTTTGAAACTTTTTTATTCGAGAGCCACTTATGTAGACGAAAGGCGTGTTTGAAGTACTAAATTATAAGCCTGTTATCTTTGATGTGCATTTCTGTTGTTACACGGTCCAATGACAAAATATTAACACAAAATATTGTTAAAGAAATCAATGACATAACTATAGTGTTGTCACAGGAAAACATTTTGTCTTCGAGCCATACTCATAGTGGTATCTTGCATTGTTTAGAAATTATCTTCAGCGAATTAACAGACCATACTAATCACTCAAATATACGAGTTTCCTTCCTAAAATATCCACATAACATATGTTTTATTGTTTGACTACATAAATCACTTTTAATTGACATGTAAACACTGCATGAAATGTAGTTATACTGGTAAAAAGTAAAATAACAAAAAGTACCGAACTCCAAGGAAAATTCAAAACGGAAAGTTCCTGATCAAATGGCAAAATCAAAAGCTCAAACACATCAAACGAGTAGAAAACGACTGTCGTATTCCTGACTTGGTACAGGCATTTCCTTATGTAGAAAATGGTGGATTAAACCTGGTTTTATAGCTAGCTTTACCTCTCACTTGTATGACAGTCGCATGAAATTTCATTATATGGTAACAGACGATTGTAAAGTTGTCTTACTCGTTATACGATGCACCGAGTTATAACTGTTTTATGTGTTATTTTGTGAATCTTATTTTATGTTTGTATGTGGTGAGACTCTAATAAAATAGAATCTGCAACTAGTTTAATCTGCTCCAATTTGGTACTATCCTTCCAAGTCATAGCTTTGTTTGTAATGTATAATGAAACTACAAAGAAGACAACCGCTTCTACACTGTTGATATCGATTGATATTGTTAGGAAGAATAAAATTTGAATAATACCGTCCGTAAGGTTGATTTACTGTATACCGCCATCTTGGATTGTAAAATAGCTGTTCACAATAGGTCTAGTTATTTGCTTAAATATGCACATTTTGAGACATAGTGGCAATTAATGGGTTAGGCTGTTTA